TGGCGGTCAGTTTCAGCAGCGGCTGAATCTGGATGCCAGTTCCGACTTACATACAGATTCAACTTAAGAACAAACCTACAGTCCCTATCTTGTACGTAACCCGGGGACTGCCTGTAATCACAATGTACTATTTCCACAGGATCCTAGTGTCATTTCCCATGGCTGCTGTCAACTCTACCTATATAATTTTTTATTTAAAATGTTGATAACTGTTGAGCAACATCAAGTACAATAAAGTTGTGTCTGGAAAAGCAGAGAGATGTCTTCTATATGCATTTTGATTGTACAAACTTGTTCTAATACATGTTTTTGTTTTACATTTTGGCCTTGGGTTGCAGCCTGAATAACTTTTTCATTCTGCTACTACAATTAATGTAATTAATAGTTTTATTCTAAAAGCAAAATTTAGTAGCACAATGGAATAGAACATTTTGCATTGTGTGTTTGTTTTTTTTAAGGAAAGGAGAATAGTTTAAGATAATCTGTTGAACTTGTGCCCAATGAAGCATTATGTTTTTTGATGGAGAAAAATCCAAATGACTGGAATAAAAGCAGTGCAAAATCTTCTTTTCCTTCAGATGTGTAGAAGTGAAATAATTTGAATGTAAAAATACCTTAGCTATTTTACTTTAATTGTAGGAAAATATCAAACTGAGTGGGGTTTAGGGAATTAAAATACATAAATATAAAAGGTAGACTACATATTTGACACCAGTCTGCTAACACAGAAATAAGTAAGATTCACTACCTCACAATAAAAGGGAACTTACAAGTATTTCATTTGGTTTGTAGAGTGATTATTGAAAGCTTGTGTATTGCAGAGATTCCATTTGAAATGTATGTCCTTTAAACTCTTCAGGTAAACTTAATAGCAAAAACTATCTTATTGTCTTAGGAGACTGAATGCAGAATTAGAGGCAAAAACAGCAGAGTTGGTGCGTCAGGCTGAAGAAGTAATAGTGAGTAAATTTAGACTATATTATATAATGCAAACTTAGGCCACATGCACAAAATGTCAAATTCTGCAAAAATAGATGACTTATGTCAACTTGCTCATGAAAAATTTCTAACCCCCACAGCCAAAAACATTTTTTTTCAAAAGATAAGGTTTTTTAAAATTAATGTCATTAATACAAATCTGAGTCTGCAGCATGTAGAGTGCCTTTGTAGCAACATAGAGTGTTTCCCAAGCTACGGCAAAGCAAAATAGAAGGGATATTTTAATTTGGCTCAAATTTACTTTAAAAAACAACAACCCCAAATCTACAGAAGCCTATCCACAACATTCTTTGAGAGGGAGAAATCAACATATTAAATAAACACTAGGCAGTTGTGCCTGGTATTTGCTACGCCTGCCAATCCCCCTCTTTCTGGCTGCTTTCGTGGCCAGAGAGCCTGTTAATCTTGCACTGATTATATAGAAAAGTGAACAAACAAAGCGGTATAGGAAAAACCTGTTATTGGTCTATTGCTCACGTACTATATGCTACAGACAGATCTCAGTTTAGCAGTTAGTTCTGGTTGAAGTGCAAGTGAGTGAGACACTGAGATTCCACTTTCAAGTAGGCTGATGACATCATTCTGTCATGCGACAGGAAAAACTTTTTTATATATAGAGAGAGATTAGATTTCATTATTTGATACCTAGCCATTGCAGCAGTCATACCTTACAGTGAAATCTACTATTTCTATATTTGAGAGAGCCAGTCAGTCTGTGTATCTGCTTGTACAAGAACTTCTAAATAGTAAGAGGTAGGACCACCAAATGGGTATACATCCTCCTCTTATCATAGCTTAGAGCAAGGTCAGGTTTTTGGTTGTACCAGGACAATGGGATGTGCATGGAATGATACTGTTTCTCATCAAACAGAAAGGAAGGGGTGAGATAGCAGAGACAGTTCTACTCACCAGCTTTGGGGAGCATCTGGTGGCTGGGTCGCATGGCTCCTGCCACCCTGACTGCCCCCGGGGAGCAGCCAGGCTGCATGGCCCTTGTTGCTCCCCCCCCCCCCCCTCCCCCGCCACACCTTCCCACCCTCTATTCTGACTCCTGCAAACCCCACCCCCATCGAAGTCCCCTGCCGTGAAGGACCCAAGCAACATTGGATAAGTCATCTAATTATAAATAAGCAGGGCTCGACAAGCCGGCACACCTGCGCAGCGCGGTCAGTGCATGCACAGCGCGGTCTGTGCATGCTCAATGTTCCGAACTGCGCGACTGGCGAGCAAGGCTCACTGCCGCTTGGCGAGCCCTGTAAATAAGTGAAACTAACTTGATTGATTTGCATTATTCCAGAGAAAAGTAAACAGCATAATTAGTAATAGTGTAGTTAATAACAAAGAAACTTGGTTAAAGGAAAACAGTTTCTGAGTTGAGTATTTCTTTAATAAGGCAGTCACCATGATCTGGACCAGGCAGACTGAAGAGTGGTAACAGCAATGTTCTTGTTTGCATCAAAAGAAAATCTTGAAATCTAAACTCTAAGAAACAAATCAGGCTTGTTCAAGTAGTAAGTTAGATAGCAAGTAGGGGTATTCACTTCATTTCTTACAGTATTGCAAACCGTATCAAAAAGAGAAAGTTACAGTCATATGCAGAAGTCCATAGTTCTTGAATCCACTGCAACGATGATTGCAATCACCAGTCTTCCTGCTCACCAGGTAGCATCTATTCCAGAAGCTCACCATGACACTGACAAACTGAATCTAGCTATCTGGTTTCTGAATGTGGACACCTAACGGCTCCTCAAAGTAGCAGAAATTAGCATGTCTCCTCTGGTGCTGAGGGACCACTTTGGAACCTAAATCCAGTCCCAGAAGTATTACTAACAGACTAATCATCCTTTTGAACCATTATATAGCTTCAGGAGTGGGTTGAGGCTGGCTGCGGCAGCTAGCGCCCCAGGTGGAAGGTGCAATCGGTGCCCCCGCCTGCACGGCCGTCAATGGCCATGACATAATCATCAGGCACCTGGGCGCTCCGTGACGTCCTCATTGGGCGCCCCGGGCCGGCAGTACCCTAGGTGACCGCCTAGTCTGCCTAGGCTCATGCCTGTATAGCTTTCCGTACCTATAAATAGGGGATGAAAATACCACGTGACAGTACTGTCATGTAGATGCAGGGAGGAAGAACCCAGTGTTTGTTTCAAAGAAGCAAATATTGGATGTTTTTCATGGACTCAGTATTCCAGTCAGCATTCTCTTAAATAAATTTTTCTTTTATCAGTTCTGAATGTTCCTGGCTAAACTGATGTCTCACTTTTTCTTTAAAAAAAAAAAAAAAAAGTCAGTGTTTTATACATTTGGGTAAAATTGAGAGAGTATACATACTTTAAATTAGAGATGTAGTAGGTTAACTGTTTACATGATTAACTGATAAGCCTGGGCTTATTGGTTACCAGGAACAGTTACACACGGGCTCCTGGGGAGCCCACAGCATGGGGCAGCAGCCAGCTCCCAGGGAGCAGGGCGGGAGCCAGCTGTATCAGAGGCAGTAGTGTGGGGCAACAGCTAGCTCCCCAGGAGTGGGGTGGGAGGCGGGAGTCAGTACGTGCCTGCAGTGGGCTCCTGAGCTGGCTGCAGGTGTGTGTAATGGCTGAAATTTTCAGCAGTTAAACAGTTACCCAATTACCTGCTTTTTAACATCCCTACTTTAAATTAGAAAGACACTGGTTATTTCTTTTGCATAACCTGGAAAATATGAAGTTTGTTCCATCTCCTATGCATTATTGTATGTTCTACAACTTGTGCTTAGATGGTAAGGGTACAGTTTTCCCAGATTTTTTTAATATAGATGGAAAGACTTCACATGAGCAAGAGCTAAATACCTGCTTTGGAGTGGAAGAACACTTGAGGCTTTCTGATATTTTAGGCTTAATCTTTGCTCTCCGAATTTGAGAGAGGCAAGTCATCCTACGTAGTACCCTTTTTGTTTGTCTCAAATGTGGAAAGATACAGTACTTTCAATTTTTGTGATGTTTAATAATTAGTGGTTAAATGGTGCCAACAGTATTTTTCTATAATGGAAATCTGTCTTTTTTATTAAAGCGAGATCAACATGAGATACTATCAATACCAGTTTCAACACAGGTTAAGTTGTGTGAAGATGATGACAAGCAACTGAGGTAAATGCTGTGAAATTCCAAAATCTTGGCTTTCTGTAGCATGCATGGAGTCTTTAGGTCTGATTCTGCAATCCCTGTCTTGCACAAGTAATCTATTTGATTTCCTTATTTCTACAAGGAGGCTCATGAAACACTGATGCAAATAATAATTTGAGGGTCATGTCCTTATATTGTATATAGTCTTTGAACACTAAGTTTCAGGGAGATTCCGAATTCTGTTGAGCAACAAAATCCGTCTGGCTTATTAAATAGCAGTACTGCTGGTTTTTAAAGTACCACTGTTTTTTTCTTTATTTGAGCCACAGTCTCTCTGTTCACTCTAGAGCCAAGTAGGGAGGCAGTTCTTCAACACTGAGGATGAAGAGAGACCCAACATAGCCAGGCTGGATAAGGTGAAAAAGCAATAGCACTTCCATTATGCATGGTGCCAGATTTAGAAAGAATTTTTTGATATCTTCTGCAGGAGGGCGAGGGAGGTGCGACCTTTCTCCTCTCTCCCTGACCTCACCATTTCTTCTCCTGGAAGGCTCTCGGGAGGCGTTTTTCTTCAACAAAAGAGTTCAAGAAGCTTTCAGGCTCATTTTGAGGTGGTGGGGTGGTCCTCAAACTTAAGGGAAACTTTTAGTCCCAAAAGATCTGTCTCAGGGTATAACTCTTACATCCGAGCCTGGGAGAAGCAAAAGTTTTTCTTCAGTCTCTCATCAGCTTATAGTTGCCCTGCCCAAGCTGACTTCATTGTGGCGTCTCAGAGTCAGTCCCATTCCACCTCCTTAGAAATGCTTCATTTTCTGGTTCCTTTCCTGCACCAGGGGTCTCTGGTTTGCTCATTGCTATAGGCTTCAAGTCTCCTTGCAGGATAGCTCCCTCTTTTCCTTTCACTCCTTGGCTCTCTGACATCTCCACTGACTGTCTGGAGATTAGAGGTACGGGAGTGCATGAACTACTTTCAGTGAGGGCATGTCTACACTAGCCCTCTAGATCGATCTAGGGAGGCTAATGAGGGCAACCGGAATTGCAAATCAAGCCTGGGATTTAAATATCCCGCTCTTGATTTGCATGTTCCCGGCCGGTCGCCATTTTAGAAATTGACTAGCCCGAAGTAACTGCCTGCGTCTACACGCGGCAGTGAAATGGGATTCCGGAATAAAGCCCTAAATCGAATTAGGTGGTATTCCTCATGGAATGAGGTTTACCACCTAATTCAATTTAGGTGCTTTATTCCGGAATCCCGTTTCACTGCCGCGTGTAGACACGGGCAGTCACTTCGGGTTAGTCAATTTTTAAAATGGCGACCGGCCGGGAACATGCAAATCAAGAGCGGGATATTTAAATCCCGGGCTTGATTTGTAATTCCGGTTGCCCTCATTAGCCTCCCTAGATCGATCTAGAGGGCTAGTGTTGATGTACCCTGAGAGACAGAAAACTGATAATTGAGAAATATGATGCTCTTTTTTGGGTGCTAAAAGACAGCCATAGTGCAGTTGAAAGAGTTATAGTTAAGCTGCTGGGCACCATCGTGATTGTGTAAAAGAATATAATTTGAGTTAGCACATTCCAAAGAAGCTCATAACAGTAAAGATTTAGCCTGTTCTCAGCCCGCTACATCAACAAAGGAAGCGCTGGCTAAGAATCTCTGAGATACAGTTGACCTGTCAATTACGTAAGTAATTGAAAAGCTTTTAAGACAACCACTATTTGTATCCAGTGAACTTCTAGATGAAAGAGAGAGAACTCCAGACTGCTCTGAAAGAATTATAAACTGTTGATAGCCATTAGAAGATGGAAGCTATGGAAATTAGGTCATTGGACACACTGATTAACCTAGGTCCTAAGTAGGCTTGTGAATGGTCAACTGGTAAGTTTCACCCTTAATGTGTGAGGTTACAGGTTGCGGTAACTGGTGGGGGCTGGAGCAGCTTCCTACCTGCTGCAAGCAGGGGGCTGCTCCAGCCCTGTGGGGATTGTTGTGAGTGGGGGGCACTCCAGCCTGGCCAGAGAAGCCCTGGTCTGTGGCGGGGGCAGGGACTGCTGGCTACCCCTGGCCATTTCCCCTTTTAATCAATTAACCAGTTAAACATTACATAATGTTTAACTGGTTAACCAGTTAAATGGGATTTTACATTCCTAGTTCTAGGATGAGCATCTAATGCCCTTCAAAATGGGTTGTCTTTAACTCAGTGTATTTCTTTGTACAAAATTTATTTTTCAGCACGGCTTTTTTTGGTTTTTGGCAAGATGAGTACATTTTACAATTTGAAAAATGGAGGTAACAGACAGTAAACAGAAGCTGACAAAACTAGTAAAGCATTTAAGAGAGGGTTTTTTATGGTTAGTTTTGGTTTTTAACAAAGATATAGAAATAAGAATAACAGATACAGAATCAAGGAGAAAAAACAGATTAAGGATAGAAAGCAGTTAAATAATGGACAGAGGAATTGAATGAAAAAGATATGGAAGGAAAAAAAATCCTTGGGGTTTTTGTTTAAGTTAAAGGATCACTAATGTGAGGTGTGCTTCTTTAAATCTACCTCCAGACCATTCTGAAGTATTTTATAGCATAGTGGCTTTTCCTCCAAGTTATTAATATTTTACATTTGAGGAACAAAGCAACTACGGTGTTTAAAGAATCAGCTTTTGTTTACACTTTCACTCTTCACGGCATGGCTTGGTGCACAGGGGTGGAGACTGAGTGTGCACGCATGGCCAAGCATACTATAGGCTTTGAATAGGATTAGCGAACACAAAGGATTCTCTCATGCACGCGCACCTCATGTTTATGTGTAGGAAAGTGATTATAAATGTTAGCTGCTATTTTGATTTGGCCATCAGCCTAGCTACTTATTTGTGAATCTTTTCAGGCTTAACGTTTTAATTTCACATCTCAAATGATTTGCACAATCTTCATTTCTTAAAGATTTTAAAAACTGCAGGATGGCAGGCAAATATGTGGAAGTGAACAGCGCCTTTAAAATTAAATAGATTTGAACGTCTTAGCAAACAAATGGAATTTTTTGTTAGAATGCTTGAGTACAAAGGTGTTAGGAATAAATTCAAATGCTGATGAAAGTGATGCTCTTGTTTTCCTGAAAATAGGACTATTGCATGTTAATATTTCGGTAAGCAATATGTAATGGAATGTTTTGTCAGCAGCTGTGGAGGAGGGCATGAATCCTACCCTTCTCTCAGTGATTGTAACTAGCCAATAGGATGGCAATAGAAGAAAAACTGGGTAGGAAGACTGTTATTAATGTCTGTTGCCACCCACAAAAGAGATCTACAAACTGTAATAATTTGATACTAGCAGCACAAATAGCCCAATGGGATAGCCAGATTACAACTGTAAAAAAACAAACAAATATACAAAAAAAGCCCAAACCCTTAGAAAACGTATTTGGAAGGACTCTCTAGTTTCTTGGATTAACAGTATCTAGAGTATTGTGGAGATAATTCTTGTGTTTGTGAATAGAGAGGTTTGAATGTGAGCGTAGTTCCCACTAGGGATGTGACTGTTGAACTGGCAAAGCCTCACCTGTTAAGATATCCAGGCCAGAGCAGTCTATCTGCAGTGGGCTCCAGTCCAGCTGGTGCAGCCTCTGTGTGCCCTCCTTTTAATGGTTAACCAACTAAATAAGATTTTACATCCCTAGTTCCCATTATTAAAGTAGGGTGAGCAAAGAGACTTGTTCCTGTCTGGATTAAAGGTAACAACATGGATTGGGAGGAGGTAAGACCAGACCTGAACTTTTTGTCCAAACCAAGGTGTTCTTTCTGAATCTCAAAATAAACAAAAAATTAAGGGAGTGCAGTTAATTTTGGCCTACAATTTAAGTATTGTGAAAGCAGTTTTATATAAGCCTGCAGACCAGTTGTGCTACTCAATTGTTTAAAACATTGATAGTCATTTTTAAACAATCCATTCCAGTGACTGAAGTTCAAATATTGCAGTGCTAAGAACCTGGAAGTAAAACTTACTTAGTGGATTTCCATTATCCATTGTAAAGGAAGAAATAAGTACAAATAGTGAAAACACAAGTGGATTTTTTTTTTACTTTAAGATCTAATTGGTAACAAATTTTGCCACGTACTAAATTTAGCTTTTAAGTTTCTTCAATATTTCTATTTAATATGCCTCTACACTATAACAGATGACTCACAACTAGGGCCTTACTAAATTCAGTCTGCTTTGGTCAATTTCATAGTCATGGGAGTTTTAAAATAATAAATTCCATTATTTTAGCTATTTAAATCTGAAATTTCACTGTGTTGTAATAGTAGAGGTCTTGACCCAAAAAGCAGAGGGTGTGTGTGTGTGTGTGTGTGTGTGTGTGTGTGTGTGTGTGTGTGTGTGTGTGTGTGTGTGTGTGTGTGTGTCTGTGTGTGTGTGTGTGTGTGTGTGTGTGTGTGTGTGTGTGTGTGTGTCTGTGTGTGTGTGTTGCAAGATTATGGTAGAGGGGATATGGTACTGCTGGCAGTGATGCTGCCTTCAGACCTGGGCAGCTGGAGAGCAGTGGCTGCTGGTGGGGAGCCTGACTCTGACGGCAGAGCCACCATCAGCAGTAGTGCAGGAGTAAGGATTCATAGTATGATATTATCACTCTTATTTTTGTGCTGCTCCCTGCAGAGCTGTGCCCTCAGTCAGCAGCCACCACTATCTGGTTGCCCAGCTGTGAAGCAGCAGTTCAGAAGTAAGGATGGCAATACCCCAATCCACCTAAAATAACCTTGTAAACCTCCTCCCCTCCCCCCTAACTCTCTGTTGGGCAGGACCCGAAATTTGAGAAACCACTGGTCTCCGTGAGCTCTGTATAGAATAGGATAAAAGCATGCAAGATCAGATTTTACGGGGCTACGGAAGGGGAATGGGACAAGATATCATGGTCCATGATGCATTTTTCATGGCCATGAATTTGGTAGGCCCTACCTAAGACCCCAAAAAGAATCCATTTTTCTTTTCCAAAGCTGCATTTTTCCTGTATTTAAGAAGAATAGTAAAAACTTAATTTTGTCAGTAAAATAAGTAGATATAATTCTGAACACAAGGGGCAGATGTTGTACAAAAATACTTTTTATAGTCATTTTCTGGATACTCTTTAACCTTTGAGTCTGTTTCTCTGGCTGTACAATGGATATAACAACTGTATAGATTTTAATTAATCTGAAAATTGATTTAAAGCTCTTCTGATGAAAGGCATTAAAATATGTAAAATAGCACATTCCCTGTGCCACAAAAATAAAAGTTTTGAACTCTGAGATAGCAGAATCCTAAAATATGAGTACTCTAAAAATTGCAGTTTACTATCGTTGACCTTGATCTTGCTGGCATATCAAATCCTGTAGAGTAAATTGAATATAACAGAGGGGTTTCTTAAACTGCAGACAGATTGAATATTTGAAAAAGTTCTCATTTCATGAGGGGGAAAAAGGTCTTATTTCCTTTTAAAATGTGTAAATTGAACACCAATCTTTTGCTTATGGCAGGGGTGGGGAAGTTTTTTTGGGTTTGGGGCCCAGACCCACAGAAAAATCAGTCGGGGGCCGTACACAAAAAAACTCACTGACATGGCGCCTGATTAAGGAGAAAGACACTCCCCCATTCCCCTCACATACCAGAGTCTAGGGGGAGCCTGGCCTAGTAGATTTTGTGTGCTCCAGCCCCATAGTGAGGCAGTGGAGTGCTAGAGCACCAGCACAGACTCCTCAATGCAGGGGAAGCCCTGAGTCTTTGGGGCTGGATCCAAGCAAGTCGGGGGCTGCATCCGGCCCCCAGGCCTGAGGTTCCCCACTGCTGGCTGACAGAATCCTGCTATGTTTTCACAACTCTGATTTCTGTTTGTTCAATTGCACTGTGTTTTTACTTATAAGTAGTAATGCATGAGATGTGCCCCTCCTTGATTTGATACTGCTTCAGATAGAAGATAAATGTTTTTTGTGTGTGGAGAGAATAGATGCTTATCAACCTGGACCAACTATCTGCAACAACAGTAATCTATTTAAAACAAAAAAAAACGGTCAAACAAAAAAACACTGCAAAACCCAGAACCAAACTACCTGCACCCCCAAACCTACAGGGTTTTTATGCTATAGATATTTGCTCCTTTTTTTCTTGAACATCTAGGAGTGTTTTTTGATTGTGACAAGTGTCCTTGATCAGCCACAGGTGGAGGGCTCTTAAACAGTGTGTTAGGAAGTCTTGCCTTAGGACAGGACAAGCAACCTAGATTCAGTGTCACATGTATGTTGAAATTTCAGGAGAGAGTATAGGGCAAGCAATGTTAGTCAGTCACAGAGGAGAAATTTGGGACATGCTTAAGTTCAAAATGGTATCTGGTAGCACACAACTGACAGCTGTAAACAGGTGCAGGTGTTACAGCTGGTTTAGAATGGAATAAAAGGAGTAAAAAGATGCAAAGGGAAGTAATTTTCTTGTTTTTAATCCCAAATCATAAGTGACAGATGTTGTGGCTGAAACAATTAACGAAAGAATTTTATGGCCCACACATTTTCTTTCCTCTTAACCTGTTTAATTTGTAATTTCATTTTCGTCTCTTAAACTCTGATCAGGTAGGGATTCTTTGTTTCTGTCTAACAGTCAGGGGAGCACCTTTAAGAGTGGTATGCTGAGATGAGTTAAGGATTTATTTTCTTTCATTGATCAACCCTTAGTCTTGAACTTTCTTTATTATAGAAGACATTGAAGTCGCAAACTAATCGTACTTGTTGGAATAGAAGGAAAATAATTTTAGTAAAAAAAAGCAATTGGTACATTTTCTTTTACTGTTTTGATCTAAGATATGTAAAATATCAGAAACACAATTTTAGAATATTTTTTGCTTTTATTATTTGTTTTATTATAAGTTTACAAAACAATTTATTTTAGTTTTATTTTTCTTTTCAGAGATGTACTTTCGACTGAAGTGCCTGTCCTTACACTTTCACATATAAAGGTACTGAAATGTGCAAATTTTGTTCTTTAATGGAATTAAATGGATCTCTACCATTCTAGTGGCATATATGGTAGAAGAAATTCTGTGGGATGTTTAGAGCAGAAATCAGGGAGACAGGACTCCAGGATTCTATTTTTGCAAATTGCTGTGCAAGGGACTTGCTAGTTGATCTTACACTAGTCACTTAGACCTGGTCTATGCTAAAAAACTGTCATCTTAACTATTCCAGAGCAGCATTGGTCAACTGACCTTACCGCTAGTGTAGGCATTGGTAGAGCAAAACAGCTGCTGCCTATTGGGAAGAGGGATTACGTATGTTGAAAGGAAACCCCTCCTGTCAGCATAGATAGTGTCTACACTTAAGTGCTACAGTGGCACAGCTGTGTCACTATAGCATTTCAAGCATAGACAAGCCCTTAGTTTCTGGACCTTATTTATTCCTATGTAAAATTATGCTATTATTTCACTATAAATAGGACTTTGAGATTCTTAAAGGTTATATAACATTTATATTGCCTTTTTTCTTAGACAAAATTTGTATTTCTGTTTTCATCTGTATAATACTAATGGCAATACTATTATTTTTCAATTAAAATCTTCTTAAAGAAGTTAACAAGCAAAACAACTTGATATTATGAGAAGAAAATAATGGATAAAAAAGACAAGGAACAACTGGAATGACTCACTAACCTCTTAAGCTACATTGCATCGTTTAAGGTCTGCTCTACCCTAGGACCTTAGTCTGAAATTAGCCCCCCACGGTTGATTTTCTAAGCGATGTGTCCACATTTCCAAGCCCATTATTCTGGAATAAGGGGCTACAGAATTTGATCTCTGTACTCCTGCTTTTCGTGAGAAGTAATGCTCTTCCCAAACTTGTAAGTCCGAAATAACGTTAGTGTAGAAGCTCTGGTGCCATTAATTTGAACTAATTGGCCTCTGGGAGGCTTCCTGCAGCTCCCCAGAGTGCTATCTGGGGCTCTGAGTTCATTAATGTAGATGTGCTACCTTGGACTACATTTGATTCTCCCCCGTAGTGAGAACACAGAACTTTGAATTTATAAAATCGGGTGCCCAGAAGTCGAACTTAATAATTTCAAAATAATTGCCTAGTGTAGACATCATCTTAGGGACTCAGCTAAATTTTCCAGAGTGTTTCTTGCAAGAAAAACTATAGCAAAGAAAGCTGCTCCTTGGAGATTCTTAATTCGAGAGTAAGATCTGAAAATTACTCAGTAGCATTACTGCAGAAAGAAGATAAAGTAAGATTAAAATATGATAATTTTACTGGTGACTTACAAGGGGTGGCAAACGCTGTCAACAGTAGTATCTTAACTTGAGACTGCACTTATGATCCAAGTATATGATGGATTGAACTTGGTGTCTAGGTGGAATAATCTTGTTTATTTAGGCTTTGAAAATTAGACTATTTAAAATATTCCTTTTGACTGCCATAGTTTGACTTCAGGAAAATGGAAGAATAGTGGTGCTAGAAAAAGTGTCACAGGTTTCAGTAACCAGGATTGTATTTATGGTGGCTTTTTTTCCTTAGCACCCAAACAAGAAATCTGGTTCCATGTCTGCAGCTCAGAGCAGACCCTGCTCTGGCAGTCATTTCATTGTTTGCTGCATTAGTATTTATTTAAAATCTATACTCTGGTAATGAAATTAGAATAGTTTTAGTTGATTTTTTTTAAATATTGAGCAGATCATTACATACATTGGTACAGATATACTTTGTTTCAGAAGCCTCTTACAATTTACTTAATCCTATAACTGCTCTGTGCTTGCTTTTATAAAGCAGTTGGAAAATTTTAATTAGCGGCCATGGTTAACACCACAGCAATGAAACTGTGGCTCATCACAAATTTAAAACAAAGGACTTGTCAAGGCTGTGATTTAAACTTTGTCTCTGTGAATGAGAATAAGTACATCTCTGCCGCTTGGTTGTGGTTTGAAAAGCATTCTGTTTAGAATCACATGGGAATGAGTATACTTGAGCATAGCAAGCCAGTTTCATTTAAGCTGAAAAAGGGAAAGATTTAAGGCCCATAGGTCCCAAAGACATTTATTCTCATATTTTAATGTGTCCATTACAATGATATCTGAACTCAAGATTTACCAAGATGAGAGAGGCAAGACAAAGGTAGGGGCAGAATTTGTAGGGACCTTTAATATTGTGAGAACCTTTGATTGATGGAGGTAGGTAGGAAATTAAACTGTAAGCCAAGTGCTGTTGCTATAGTATGAAATTAGAAAGGGTGTGCAGCAGGATTCACTTGGTGCCCGCTGGCCTCAGGAGCAGGACCATGGCTTAACAGTCTGAGTTTTGGGATGGCCTTGCCAAGAAATTTGAACGCCTAGTGGTAGAGTTACAGTTCTCCCATCCTTTGGTGCTTCCTGGGTTCCTCTGCTCAGGTGGAGGGAGAAGGGACCCCAGGTCCTCCCTTGCACTAGGTCCTAGCACAGGGCCCATTTGTACCTGCTTGTCAAGGAGAAGGGGGAAAAGAAAAATGGGGTGAAGTCTTGGCTGTATAGTTGTGTTTTATCAACAGTCCAGATTCTTTCCTGTAGGAAGATATCTGTCCCAGAAGCTACAGCCTGGCTGCTTGCCTGCAGCCAGTCTCTCTTTCTCTTTTCCCCCCTCCTTACCTATCAATCTCCTTGTTCTGCAGCTGCTCCATTACTCGTTTAGTTTTAGGCCTTGTCTATACTATCAAGTTTTGTCACAAAAACTTGCTTTTTTACGACAAAAGTATGAGAGCATGCATTCTGCAATGCAACTTTTGTTGGAAAAATCACCCAGTTTTGGCAACAAAAAACTTTTACTCCCTGGGAGCCTTTTTTTCATTTCCTCTTCTTTCATTGTAGACAAAGAGACAGCGTAGACACTGCTCTTTGTTTTGTGGACAGAACTGGCTTTTGCCAGTATCCCACAATGTCTTCCCTGATCATGCTTTTCAGTGTTTTGATCTCTGCTGCCACGTGGGCTCTCCTTTCAAAGTTCTGGTGGAAGTATCTGACAGCTGAGTGTGCTGCTCTGTTTGGTGAACAAAGAGCAAGTCCTTGGAATGTTTCTGTTCTGCTCTGAGGTAGGAACACAGTTGCAGGCAGACTGCTGCTGTAGAGGGATGGAGACCGATTGCTGTCCAGCTTTGATATTCCTCAGCATGGAGAGCTCACAGAGCTACTCATAATGCTGCCCTTGGCAGCTGTGAAGGCTGTGAGAGAACTCTGAGGGAATCCCAAGATTTTCAGGGCTCATCTCTGCCTTCCCACAACACTGCACTGTGATATACACACCCTCAGTGCATTTGCTCACACTGTCAATGGTGTTTCCAATGTGGACAGAATCTGTCAACAGAGGGAACAAGTGTGAACATCTTCTGGTGATTTTTGTTTTGTTGACTTTTGGGTGTTGACATAAGTTTTGTCAACAAAACTTGGTAGCGTAGAAAGGTCTTAATGAGGCATCTGTAAACCCCCATCACCGCGAGGCAGGTGACACTTCAAATTGCAGGAAAGGGACAAGTAGCATTTTTGATACAATGAAGTTGCGAGCAGAGTAAGGAGGATCTCAAATATCAAGGGATGAGATGGTTCATTTTAGAAATATGTATAACAGAGGGAGGGGTAGAGTTCAATATAATTAGATGAAACAGGAAGAGTCATAGGCTGTGAAGAATAAAGACTGAAAAGTCAAAGATGACACCTAGGTTGTGCACTCAAGAGACGGAGAATAGTAGAGTTGTCTGGAATAGGAGAGCAGAGAGGGATTAAGAGGAGAGATTAGTAGCTCAGTCTGGTGGGTGGGGGGGCTGAATTTCAGACAGTACAGTAGATGTGAAATAGGATAGGAAGCTGAAATCAAGGCAAGAGAAATAGACTTGGAAATCTGAATTTAAAACTGGGAGCAGATGAAGGTCACCAAAAAAGTAGTGAATGAGTGTGACAGAATTCTGAAGGATGCCAACTGATTGTCAGAGAGGAGTACATGGAGTGGGTATAGGAGATACCAGAGAAGAGAACAGAAAGGTTGGAGGGAAAGCAGGAAAGAACAGAGTTGCAGAGGCTAAGAGAGGGAAGAGTGATCAACAGTGTCTTAGTGTTGCAGTGTAGACATACCCTATTTCAAAATTACTAACACTATTCCAAAATAATAGTCTACACAGCAGGCGGTTATTTCGAAATAATGTCAAAATACTGTCAAGCTGGAGGACTTCTTACTCTGACTCTGTAACCCTCATTGTATGAGGAATAAGGGAAGTCAGAGAAAGAGTGCTCTTCGAAATGAGTACTGTGTAGACTCTCCCTATTTAGCAATAAGTTATTTTGACATAAGATACGGAGTTGACATAGCTCAATTTGCTTATCTTATTTCAAATTAAGCACTGCAGTGTAGACACACCTTTAAGTAGAAGACCAACGTGGATAGATGAGTGTTCCTTTTGGATTAAGCTAATTTTGTATTTTTAAAATATCTTACTAGTAAGACTTCCATTTCCAGGCTGGATAATCATCACTGTTGCAACCTTCTATCACTAAGATGAGTGTTTCTCTGTACACATTATGGCTGTCAGACAGAATTTGAATTGAAGGTTTTTATTTCTTCCTTCTACAGTGTCTTAGACATGAAGGCCATGTTAAAATCTTCATAGATCTTCATATGATACTTGTTGCTACCAGTTTGAACTTCATTTGAATATAGGAAAGATTTTTAGGTACACAGAACAAATTTGGCATTTGTATCTTTTGTACAAATGCAAAAGATTAAAGTATTAGCAGACTGCAGCATTACAATAGCTAAATTTATACATTTTATAAATAACTGCCACCTAAGTATTTTTGTAGCTTAGTTAGAATAAAAGATGGGCATTGGGGTGGAGGCTGCACAGGCCTCCTGCCAGTGCCCTCCAGACCAGTCCAAGGGTTTGGGTGAGTCGGGGGCAGTGTTCCCTCTAAGCCAGGTGTGGGCAATAATTTTTGCCCGGGGGCCACTTCAAAAATTTTTGAAGTAGTCCTGGGCCACCCTGGAAGGGTGGCTTTGGGCACTTCTCCCCTCCTCCCCCCCCCGGCCCTAACTGGCCTGGGGGCAGGGGAGCAGCAGGGCCTCCACGGGCCGGATCCACCTGCTTGGCAGACCAGATTCGGCCCGCGGAGGCCCTTTTGCCCACCCCTGCTCTAAGCTGTATGGCAACACAGCTTCACAGGTGATTTATCAGCCCCGCCCAGTCAGAGGCCCAAGGCTCCTTGCTCAGAGCCCTGAGCCTCTGACTGGACGGGGCTGATTAATCATCTGTGAAGCTGTGCTGCCTTCACAGCTTAGAGGGATCACTGGTTAGTGGTTGGGGAGGAGGCTGTACTAGAAGTTGTGGTGGGGAGCCTGGGATTCAGGAGGCACTTGGGGAGGGGGCCTGGCTGGAGGTTGGGGCTGTACAGGCTTTCCTCGCCAGTGTTCCCAGGGCTGGAGGCAGGGGGGCAGGAAGGGAGGGTTGCACAGGTTTGGGGTAGGAGTGCCACTTACCTGGGCCGGGGCAGGCAAGACGGTGAGCCCTGTTCCCCGCTGGCCACTCCCTTGGTATTGTGGCTGCTCCCAAGTAGTGACTCTGCAGGATAGCTGTCCCCTGCACACGCTATCCCCAATGGTGACTGAGGGTATGTCTACACTACCCTCCTAATTCGAACTAGGAGGGTAATGTAGGCATACCGCACTTGCAAATGAAGCCCGGGATTTGAATTTCCCGGGCTTCATTTGCATAAGCCGGGCGCCGCCATTTTTAAATCCCGGCTAGTTCGAACCCCGTGCCGCGCGGCTACACGCGGCACGGAGTAGCTAGTTCGGATTAGGCTTCTATTCCGAACTAGCTGTACTCCACGATGTAGGCATACCGCACTTGCAAATGAAGCCCGGGATTTGAATTTCTCGTGGAATGAGGAGTACAGCTAGTTCGCCGTGCCGCGGGTAGCCGCGCGGCACGGGGTTCGAACTAGCCGGGATTTAAAAATGGCGGCGCCCAGTTTATGCAAATGAAGCCCGGGAAATTCAAATCCCGGGCTTCATTTGCAAGTGCGGTATGCCTACATTACCCCTCTAGTTCAAATTAGCGGGGTAGTGTAGACATACCCTGAGTATTGTCTCCCTCCTCTCTTTGCCCTCTCTCTTTCCATGTTGTGGAAAACAAATTCCAGGCACATCCTGTTTTCCTTCCACAACCAACCCCTGACCAGAGATAGCTGCATACCAAATGTGGTGGTACTGCCTCTTACCATTCAGGAGGAGTTCTTGATCAGATGGACTTGAAGACAGACAGCTGGATTCACAGATGCACCAATATCTAAAATATGTATATATATATCTAACTTCAATCTAGAAACTTTCTTATTACGGAATTTTAGTGCAAAACTAAGAAGCATTAATATACAAGCTGCTGCTGATGTTGCCGTCCCGGAGGACTTCACAGAATTTTCTCTTGCAAAAACAATTAGCAAAATTGAAGGAAAACTGGAAGAAGGAGCCTTGCCTGAGAGTCTAGATGATGATATTATTCCAAGTGTAGGAAATGAAATTGGTACAGGTAGGTTCTCTCATTGCTATGAATTTTCTTATCCTTGGTTCCTTAATGTTAGGATCTTCTGGAAAAAACCCTATATTTTATCATTTCTATATGATTATAGGAGAAAGTTCTAGAACTTTTTAAATTATATTCAGATTTTTGCTTTGGGAAGTGGGTATGGGGAACAAGACAGAATTTTTATCTTTGTGTGTTCCCAGATCACACACAAATAAACATGGAAAGCATGGGTTGATGCCCCCATTCCACTGAAAACTTTTCTTACCTTTGTTCTTTAGCAGTGCATCAGCCCCTTCTGGAAGGAGGTCATGTGAGTTATTTGGGACAATGTTATGACTTTAGATTGTTGCATAACTCTTATTTGCAACTTCCAATAAAGTTTTAAAAAATGTACCTGAAGTCAGGATTTGGTCCTAAAGCTGTATTTCCATAAGATAAAAATCCTTTCACAGCCTTTGTCTTTAGGGCTAAATCCTTTAATCAGATCTTGGGAAAGTAGCTTATGAAACGTAATATTTTAACTTAAATGAGGATCTTTTCTCACTCCAAAATGTATTTTTTTACACTGGGCCTAGAAATAACTAGAATGTGAGAATGGATTGTAGCATTTTGTCAGTGAAGCTAAAGGCATGATGCATCTCTGCCTTTTTGACTGTGATATGAGAAGCTGATAGTTATGGAATAGTTTATGTGGTGTCTGTGACAGGGTGCACTCTCCACTCATAGGCACCTCCTTTCAACTGTGTGTGATCTTGCACTTCCTTGTGCCATCTGTAAGCTATTGACCTTGGCATGCACATCTTCTGAGGGCTGAGCCACTAGCTATGTCTCACATAGTCTGAAATGGACGAATCCCTTCCAAGGCGACAAAGGTCTAACAAGGATTATCACTGTGCCTTTGTGAGTGTCTGCAGCCCTGTCTCTGAGCAGTTCTTAGTCCCTTCTGGGCTAGCTTTAACCTTGTTTCTGCCCTGTTATGGAGCACTTCTGCCACGGTTTTCTCCCGGAAGATTCCTTGTCCTCGATTGTTGCCTGGAGTTTCAGCTCTCCAGACAGGTGACTCCTTAACTTCAGTCTCCGCCTGGGGTTGGAGGAGGTAACCAAAAGTCCCACAGACAGCCTGTCTGTCATTGTCAGGGTCTTCAGCTCTGTCCTTGAGTCCTTTAATTCCAGCCTTTTGCTTGGATCTCTAAAGAAAACTTGTTCCCTTCTTAATGCTTTGGCTGCTTCCCTAGTGGTTGGTGGGGGAACCCAGGCTTGTTTACTATTCTGGGTTCCAATCTAAGGAGCCTCTAAACAAGAGCCATATACTACTACCTCATATTCACTGTTGCTGTTCCCAGAGCCTCTTCCCACATAGCTCCCTTCTCTTCACCCTTACCTTCCAAAGTGTATAAGACATTTTGGAAATATCCATCAAGGAGAATCGATGTGAAACTCTCAGATTATTTGTTTTATGACTGAAGTTTCTTAACTCTTTTTCTTCACTAAATATCAGTGCACCAGAACCCATTTTCTGTTTCTCTCTTGATCCCCAGCAAGGAACACTCTTCTTGGCTTAGTCCCAGCCAAGAACTGACCTGTTCAGCTCCTGCAGCTCCTTTCAACTGAGCCTGCTGCACTCTGCTTGTCTGCAGTGTTTCTAGGCAGTCCTAAAGAATCCATCTTTTGTTGCTCCTTTCCTGGGGTGAGGTGGTAGAAGCAGGGGGCCTTGAAGGGCATGGTACACACTGTCACATAATCCCATAGTGAGAGAGTAGAGGTTTATTACGTTATCAAAATGCTGTGGTGTTTGTCTCTAACTACATTTTTTACATCAGGAAGGGGGGCTAGGGAAGGGTAAGTGGAAGGAGGTGAGGGAGGAATGGGGTATGAGACCCCGATGGGGTGGCTCTGCGGGCTCCTCAGGGTGGAAGCTCTCCTGCAGGGCCTCCTGGATCCTGACAGCCCCGATTGACCCCCCTGGATGGCAGCCTGCGGCAAGTGCAGCCGGGCTGATGGCTGAGTGCTGTGATGTGCCTAGTGTGGGCACTCCAAGACAGGACTGCTTTGCTGTCCCCCATCGAGTTAGACAAGCAAGCGGGGAACCCTGAGAGAACTGTCTATCAGGGGTGGGAGTCGGGTCCCTTTAAGCACAGCCCACAGCTAGCCTGAGGCAGCAGCTCTACACCCTAAGTCCTAACCTGATGCCCTTCCGGCACTGGTTCCGGCCAGCCTTAACTTCGGTTCAGGGTCCACTCAATGTGGACATGCTATTTCAAAGTAGCAAAACGCTAATTCGAATTAGTTTTTAGGTCAGATGCCCTAATTCGAATTACCTTATTTCGAATTAACTAATTCAAATTAAGTTAGTTCGAATTAGTGCTGTAGTGTAGACATACCCAGAGAGTTATTGATTGAACTCTGTGTTTGAGCATTGGAGACTGTTTCCATAAGTAGATCTGTACTGTAGATTGAAAGACCTTGGACTGATTTCTGCTCTTCAAATTATCCACCGATAGTTGGAATGAATGCCAGAATGTCTCCTGGACACCAGAATTTAATACTTAATGTTCAAAATAGGCCATTACAGATGGAGTCATTGATGACAGACAGAGGTTGCTGGCTTCACAATTAAATAAATTACCCTTTGGCTCAAAAATCTCATGTAAATAACAGAGAGGGAATGGTCTGTTCCATTCTATTAGAATAGTGACTTGCTTGTGGTTTGAGGTGTCAGTTCCATCCACTCAGATCCCACAAAATTACTTTTAAAAAGCCAGTTACTCAAGCTTTAAGAGGGATGACTGACTTTCTCTGTAAGGCTGTGTCTAGACTACATCCCTCTGGTGGCAGAGGGATGTAAGTGAAGCACTTCAAAAGTGCAAATTAAGCGGGGATTTAAATATCCTGCACTTCATTTGCATAATCGCATAATGGTGCTCTTTTGAACAAATGCCATTTCGAAAGTAAAACCGCAGTCTAGACGTGGTTCTTTCGAAAACGGGACGCTTTTTCAAAAGATTTTGTAAAGCTCAGGATCTTTCGAAAAAGCGCCCCGTTTTTGAAAGAACAGCATCTGGACCGCGTTTTTACTTTCGAAATGGCATTTGTTCAAAAGAGCACCATTATGCGATTATGCAAATGAAGTGCAGGATATTTAAATCCCCGCTTAATTTGCACTTTTGAAGTGCTTCACTTACATCCCTCTGTTGGCAGAGGGATGTAGTTTAGGCGTAGCCTAACTGAACATAAAACCCTTAGCACATATTACAGTAAACTTCCGATAATCCGGCACCTTTAGGACCCAGGGGGTGCCGGATTATCAGATATGCCGGACTATCAGAAGGGGGGGCTATGAGGGATCTGGGGTGGGGTAGGGGGAAGCTACCCCAGACCCCCTCATAGCCCTCCCTTCTGATAGTCCGGCTCTGCCCCAGGAGTCCCCGATTCAGCCGCCGCTGGGCAGTTTCAGCAGCG